CAGGACATTTCAGCTATGAATGCACGATAATTACCAGTACAGATCAATTATCGGCCGGTTATGGGGAATTTATATCATTATAAATTATAAGGATACTTAAATTACAGCCGAAAGGTTATTGGTTGATATTAATAATATTAATTTTAAAATGAATTTATATTTTATGAAAGACAAAATATGTTCTATGAAAGTTTCTGATGAACATGAATGAACATTTAAAGAGTCACAACTGTTGTTTGTTGTTGTGTAAACAATAGTGATGTCAGTTAGATTTCATTAGATCAGGGCTAAGGAATATTAAATCATCCATCTTTGCTCACATCTTAACCTTTCTTACCCTCAAATGTATAAAAACTACAGGTTATTAACTTATTTTGTCTAAAAAAAAAAAAAAAGAAAATCCATATCCTGGATCCCTAATCTCAAACTCTGCTGCCCCATTTAAAAATAATATTATTTGGGGCTTTTATTGCCCTCTAATGGATACTGACAGCTGCAGAATGACAAGAAACGGGTGACTACATGCAGTAAAGGGCCAGAGGACAGAGCTGACCCCATGACCGCTGCTGTAACGACTCAGCCTTGGTACATGGGGGACCAGCTCTACCAGATGAGCTACCAGGGCGCCCCTAATCAATCAATCATCAATTTTAACCACCCTTTTTATTCCTGAAACCTTGTGCAAGTGCAACACTAAAATTGCTGGAGTACCCCTTTAATGCTGAACCGAGGGGCAAGCAGATTCACTTAGCTGACATCATGACATTTCTTCCATATGTCGCGTTGCATCAGGTTACATAAAACGACCGAGTGGTTTCCAAGAATCTCATCAACGGACCGATGAGCTAATTCATGATCCTCTTAAGACAGAATGACTGTCAGTAATGGTTCAGTAATGACTGAATGACTAATTATCTCTCACAAACACTATGATAGTAAATCTGCCATGTCACTGCAGCCGGGCTCAAGAGGGCTTATGAAACTCCATGATTCACTCTGTATTTCCATCACTTTATCAAAGACGTGTGTAATTATGTACTGTCTAATAGCTAACCTTCTACCCAATGTATCATCGAACTGATCCCCAATGTCACACATTTCACAGCTGCGTTCGGCAAATGTTTGCAAAGAAAAAAGAAAAGGTAGCAGCCATAACCTCGCCAGGCTGAGACAGTGTAGCTGCCATGGAAATGAGTGCGAGAGCTGTTGGTGCGATTTCAAATTGGGAATGAAAATGTTGCCCCATTAGGACATAGTTGTGTGTCTAATAATATCTCCTCATTCCTGTGAATCGGAATCAGTCAGAAATACTGGTTTTAGATGCCGGGTGTCATGAATAAATGATTTCCTCCTCGTTTTAGTGCACACAGAGGAGGGGGTGTTGGGAGAAGAGTAGGCTGATTGACAGCAATGTGTAATGCTCTGGGAGGAGAGTCTAAGAATCTGGAGTTGTTTGAACGAGTATGCAGATGCACGCCACTCAGCAGACTGTAAGCTCCTCTCTCTAACATCTGTGACAGCTGTTCCTGATCGGATCTCGTGGCATCTTCACTTCGACACGACAGGTAAGTTTTAATTGTAACCATAATGTGCTGTATGTTTCCCACAGTGCTGTAAAGTAAGACACATAGGTACTGCACATGCCCTCACTGGTGGTAAAAGCGCACACACACTTCTTTACTCAAGTAGAAGAGCAGATACTTGTGTAAAAGTACTGATTCAACTTCTTTAGTTTGGTTAGTTTTCACAGGAAGACAATATGATCAGATTTTGATATAAAAATAAAATGAGTTTTTGTGATTTGTTTGGCTTGTATTGTTAAACAGGAGTGCAATATAACTGAGGATACAATCTTAAAGGGTTTAAATTATATATTTAATTTCATCCATCATTTAAATAAAAGTAGTAGTACTCAAAGTATAAAAGTAAAAAGTACTTTCTTATTCCCTAAAGAACATTTCTACTGCTGTTTCTGTGCAAAGCTGACTGAAGCTTCAAATAGGGTCGAGTCTCCCTCTGTTGTCTGCTTCATCTTGTTACATTTTTATGTGTGATATGCTGTTGATGTTGTGAAAATGTACAATAATGCAAAAAATAATAATTGATAATTCCCCTCAAATGCATTAAAACTAAAGTAACAAGAGATATTTGTGCACAACTGTAGGGGGTGGGGGTAAACGTAAAGATTTATCAGAAAAAAATAATATTCAAGTAAAGCAGAATAAATAATTAAAGTACAGTATCAAAATATTTGTACTTTGTTACTTCCCACTTCGGCTCACTGATGGCATATAATCTAAAAAGTGACACTTTTGATTGAAAAGTTTCCGTGTTGTTCCAAATGGTGGTACATGGAGTCAAGTGATTACTACTCTTGTGACTTTTAACTAAAGATGCATTTTATATGATTACATTACTCAAAAACTAGTGAGTCCTGTAAACGTCCGGCTCCCGGTGGTCCAAAACTCCTGCACAAGTGCTGCAGACACCAACACTAGCACCGAGTCATGGCTAAGCAAACTAGCGAACAGCAGCTACTCTGAAACTCTGTGAATCACATCATTTTCTCCTTAAAATATGATCCTCAAAAATCAGTAACATGGTTGGTGTGTGACTTACTGCCTTAGTCCTGAGAACACAGACACAGAGAGTAATTAATGTAATGACAGAGGCCTCATAATGATTCTGAAGCTCTTTTGTTTAAAAAGGTAGAAAAGTTATATTATGGTGCTTTAACATAAAAATGGATAACGAATTAAAACTGTTAAAATAACTAACGGATAAATAGTTAATCTTAAAGTAATGAATAGAAAGTAATGGATACACGGTTGAAAAAGCTAAATGCAGTAAATAAACTGTTGAAATAGTTGGCAAAAAGTAATAAATAAACATTTGAAATAGCTAAAAGTGATGAATAAACAATAATAATTCTGCTAATAGAAAGAGATAAATGGTTTAAACATCCAACTTTCCACTCCTACTCCAAGCAATACGAATGCACACTTGACCCAAACGACTGACAGTTCAACTACATGAGCTAACATGGCAACAGTAAACACCTTTATAAATAGGCTGAGTGGTCTTCAATAACATCCGGTTTATACTCCATTCATAAGAACAAATTTGGAACGTGGCAGGTGGTGTTGAGGAAGGTGTACTTCAACTCATCGGATATGGCTGTGGGGGCGCATCAGACAGGAAAAGACTCTGAAACACTCGCCAGAAAACGTACGCGTTTGCCAAAGCCGGACATGCAGAAAATAAAGACTCCCAATTCATAATGTCAACACATTCTGGTATTCAATCTGCAAGCGAGAGATGAGTTTTAGGGAGAGGTGAGACTCAAGATGAAAAGGATTTTATAAATACAATTAACTCGAGCGCCCAAGTTCCCTCTATTTTTCTCAGAGCCGTGCTTGTGGCAGGCTAAACGGATGATTGCACTTTCATGGCGAAACATTAATAGAGAGAAAATAAGTCAGCGGTTCAGGGAATTGTACTCTTGTCGTCACTTAGAAAAGATTACACAAGCGCTTAAGGGCAGAGACGGTTCAAAACGTGTGTGTGTGGGGGGGGTTTATTTGTATCAGACATAGATGAATCCCATATTCTGGGTCGCTGAGATCTTTTCATTATAGCCTGTTTTGTTTCTACTTCACTCCTTAAGCATCCAGCTTTGGGAGCAAATATTCACACATATTGATCTCTCAGAGAACAAAGGAATTCTTGAGCAGTGCTCCCCTTTGACACATTATTTCACACCATCTAACTCTTGCTTACGCCAAACAATAGTTTTCCTCCAAATATATGAGGCAGTTTGCAGCAGAATAGCACTCTCCACGTTGTATTCTGGCAGGAAATTAGGTGAAATAAAACATTAGAAAGTGTCAAAACAGCTGAATTACCAGCCCAGGAAGACATAATAATACACGAGTGCAATTAAACATGGTACAGTTTGTCTCAAGTTATTAAGACGAGGTTGATGTGGTTGATGCGATTGCCTGGTTGAATGGGTACGTATGAGAGAGCTCAGACGATGTGGAGCGTATCTCTGGAAATAAAGAAAAAATAATTTAAACATTTTACACCGGTGAGTGACAATATCCCTACAGCACTCATCAGAATTTAGACAAACTCAATAACTTCGTCTTCTAAAGAAGCACTAGAGCAGAAATGAGTGAATGATTTTTTTTTCCTTTTTATTCATCTGTGTGTTATTTCCACGCTTCTATCGGTTCACCACGAAGGGCTTCGAGCCAAATCAACGAGGGAGGCTGATGGAGTGAAAAACGCCGTCCTTATCTACGTAGGAGAGTGGAACAGATGCGGATATGACTTTGTTATCATGCAGCTCAGTGAAAGAGAGGAGGCGAAAGGATAAGACGGGGAGGGAGGGAGAGGAGGAGGAGGAGGGGCTTCAAACGTGTGCTCCAATGTCAGGTTAATTGCAGGAATAGATTTCTTGGCAGGTAGGACAGGCCTAAATAAAACAAACGACTTGTATTATCCTCCATTAGAACAATATTCAGCATCATCTTTCATTATTTACAAAAAATACACAGCGAGGCATTCTCATTCTTGTGACTCAGCATCAATCACGTGGCTATACTTGAATGAACAAACACATCACTGCAGCCACTAAAAACATATGCTCAGAGGAGGCTCACGACAAATCTTACCACATTTGCCTCGTGTCAACATTTTAAAAGGTTTGTTCAGTCCTACTGATTAACATGAAGGCACTGATGCTAAAAAACACTCCACAGGTTTTCCTCTGTTCATCATTCCAGCAGTGTCCGGCTCACTGTCTCAGGAAAACAATCACCAATAGAGATCAAAGTGAGTTCACAGAAGAAATGGACTGTTTTGCCGCTGGCGTCGACTGAGCAGCACTAACAGGGAACACAAAGCTTCAGACCCAAAATGGATCCGAATCGGCAGCACCTGCGAGTTTACCGTGCGCATCATTCCCCCAAAATAAACCACAAGGAAGTCATTAATCTCTCTTAAGTGTTCTTTATTTCCTGTGAGGAGTGTTTCATAAAACCAGACCAGTGAGTCTCTTTCACAGTCACCCGACTGCTTCGTCAAGTTTCCAAAAAAACGTGTGCTGCAAACACACCGATTTAAATCTGTGTCGATATCACAAGTGTTAACATACATACAGTATGACGCCTAACAAATACAGTAAGGCCACATCACTATTTGCACAATGACAATTAACAGTACAAACTGTGTGTGTTTGTGACAAAGCTCGTCATAAATCTACAAATAGTGAAGAGGATGAAAAGCTTGAGACAATAATTTACAAAATATAGCAATGTAAAGCAATCACCTTTAAAATTCCATCAAATATCCTTTTTAAACCAAAAGGTTTAAAGTCTGTCAAGTATCAGATAATACCAATAATTATCTTGATACTAAAGTACTCAAGTCTTACAGCAACGAGTCTGTACATGATGACCGTCACATGCTGGTATTGCACATGTCCGTCCCTGTCAGTTATCACATTACTAAATTAACTTTTCTACATTTTGTTTGTTCTACTGAAGACATTTTCAATCTCAAACTGAGTTCATGATGCAAATACTGACAAGAGGCTACAGCTAAATGTGAGTTCTCAACATATTCTGAAGCTACAAATGGTTTTATTATGTTGGCACAGTATTTTTTTTGCTAATATTAAGAACCTGCAATGAAATCTCAAAGTTTTTAAGATTATTTTCCAACAGAAAGTCTCACATTTCAAAAATCTAAGTGTTTTTTTTAATTATCATATAATAATAATAATAACTGGTAAAACTCTCAGTTTTGGGTTTTAAGTAAACCACAGAAACTGAACTGACAACAAGTGTTGAGTGCATTTTACCCACAGCGCCACCTGGTGAGTGTGGTGTGAACCAGATTTAATGGCCCCACGGACAGCCGCAGGGGTCTCCACAGGCCCTCTTCCTGTCCCAGAGGATGTGCAGCTCCTCGGCTGTGTGTTGGGGAGACGACAGCATGTCCAAGTAGCACTCTTTCTCACACAGCCAGCCGGGGTCCTGGTGTTAGGCAAAGCAGGGATTGATGATAGGATTATTAGTTGTAAACTGGTTAAAGTCTCACTCAAGTTTAATTAACATTAAGATGCACCTTTGATATGCCGCAACTGAACTCTGTGGTGCCAAGTTTCCACAGACTGCGCCAGCAAATTTCAGATTTAAGAGGTTTTATTTATCACATGCTCAGACAATTTGTGCAGTGAGATGCTGTAAAGCTGGTCTAGCTGTGATAAAAGGCTACTGTACAGTAAGGGATGTGCAATATGTTTGTATATTAAAGATGTAGAGTTGTAAAGAAAACTACAGAATACAATTTAGCATACAAATCTAAATGGATATTAAATCACAAAGTAAAATAGAGGATTACTAAGAAGAGGAAAATAACGACAATCTCAGTGTTTTTCATAGAAATTAAAGCTGCACAATTAATCAATACAATATCAAAATCACAATATGGCCAAGTGCAATATTCAAATCACAGAAGCTTAAAGGTAAAATGTGACTAACAGCGTTATAATGATATACTGCAGTGCTGCAGAGATGCACCGGCCAACAAATCTCGTTCTCCGGATTTAAGAAAAACATGTCACCAAAAGGTTTTTTTAGTAAAAATGTAATTGCAGCCCTAATAGAAATCCATATGTACGTCTTCAGCGAGGTTTAGTAGTGAGAGGAGTAAATGGACTGAACCTTTCTAGTCTTCCAAAAGTAAAGTGCTTTACACGACATATCTCATTCAGTTCAGTATCTTTCCCAAGGACATGCAGAGGGAGGACCCGGGGATCAAACAACCAACCTTCTGATTGGTGGATAATAAAGTGAGTAAGATCGACTGTTTGCTTGTTTTTTTATGTTTTAGTCTCCCATTATTTTACTGCTCATCTTTCCACTGTCCTACTAATCTTATTAGTTTCAGTCACTTGTGGAGAACGGCACTAACTTGTAAAACAGATGGCGCACAAATAAAGTTTGACTGATAGCCCACAGTAAACTGAGCTCATCTTCATCGCTCACAGTATGAGCTTCAGCAGGGTTTTCATGCTGAGACGGAGCAAAACTAAAAACGAGGCTGCTTGGATCATTGAGTTATGGGGATAATTTTGTAATTCTATATTATCTTATTATGTTTTGTGAATATTTTCCTTATTAATTAATATTTGCATCTTGAACTCAAACAACTGTTTGTCTGACACAACACGATTCAATTCTAAAAGTCTGATAGGTTGTTTTATATAAACATATTAGAATTTTGTCAATAAACCAAATCATTTGTGATTGTGGCGTTCAGGAGTTGGCAGCTCTGGATGTCATTAAAGCAGTTTATTACCTGATATTTCTGTGGTCCAACGGCTGCCATCCATATCCCCATGCTCACATCTTCCCCCTGTAACAACACATCCGGGGCAGATTCCTCACATTATACTCATTATTATCTCCCCCCGAACCCCCACTGTCACTTGCTCTGGGGTACTCTACCTGGTAAGCCTTCAGTTTATCTGCATTGCTGGCAAGCCACTGGACCAGGTCACGAGAGACCACATAGCCGGAGCCGCAGGCAAACGCAGGGTAGGCTGGACTAGCGTACTCCAGCTCCTGCCACTTCCCAATGCGATCCACTGCCCAGCTCTGCCTGAAACTGGGTCAGGACGGTAGATACATCATCATCACATCCTGCCTGCCTTTCACCTGAATCACCATCGTTTTGACAGAGCATTCCTGTTCCTTTCATTTAAAGAGGTTCAGCTGACAGTGCACCAAAGTTAAGTTTCCAAACACAAGGGGACTAAAAATCCCAAGCAAAATATACATTGAAAAAAAGGATCAGGCATCAAATTGTACTTACTTCCCCCACCAGAAATTGCTGCGCTTGAGACCCTTGTGGTCAATCTTCATTAATACTGAGTCCACGTCGATGTAACAATCATCATCAGTCTTCAGCAGCAGATTAAAGTCAGCGTTTCCCACAGACCTGCCAGAGAAGGAATTTGCAAACTTAATTAAAACCCACCTTCTGATTATTTTCTTTTCTTTTAGCAATATCCCAGAGTGGATTTACTTTCAAATACCAGAGAGAGTGAGGGGCCAGGAGGTCTCACAAATAAATAATATACTTGTCAAGTCAAAGCTTAAGACCATTCTGTATATTTTGCTACCTGATGACTCACAACTGTACTTTTTTTGCCTGACTGAGTGATTGCAATCGTGATTCTAACAGCGAGACATTTTGAGGCGACGACACACTTTCATTTCAGGTTGCTGATTTCCTCGGAGGGCCCAGGCAATTTGGAGACAGAGAATCGAGTCATTAGCACTTGGCATACCATTTATAGAACTGAAGCAGTTTGGAAGGCACGTTCCTGTAGGTGTCTACCACGTCCACGAACACCATGTCGCCGTGCCTGAGGCTCTCCTCCTGCAAGGCAGCGTCCTCCTGCCGCAGCCTGGAGGCATGGTGCTCCATCCTGGCTGGGCGGCCCCGCAGGAGCTCCGATAGGCCGTCTCCATCTGACGCACAGGTAGTGAGGGGTGGGTGTAGGGAGGCATGTGATCGGGGTAAAAAAAAAAAAACAACAGGGAAAAATTGATAAATTGGGGGAAAATTGTGAAGGAGCTTTTGTCCAAAATGAGTCACATTAACTTTTTATTCACCCATGTTCTGAATAAATTAAGGCACCTTTGAGGGATAATAACTTGCTGGCAAAATAATATGATAAAACTGTAACATTTTATAGAATGGATCATTAGTTCTGTTTTCAGAGATATTAGATAGTGAATTTAATTTAGGTTTTTTTTTTTTCTTCTTCCCCAAAAATGGCTGCAAATCCATTCTCAGATAAACTCAAAACGCAAACACATGCAGGAGGTACAATCAATAATGTAACAGGGTGGAGAGGAGGGGGGGAAAGAAAAAAAATGTATTTCCATTTGCCACATATGCAAGAGCCCTGAGGCGAAAAAGGAGCTAATCTCATAACCTGCCAAAGTGAATCAGTGGGGTTTTTTTTATTTTTACGTAGGGATTTCTTTTACAACAGTTGGCTCATGGAGCGATTTTGATCGAACTGTTTTCATAAAAAGCTCAAAATTTATTCTGTTGCTGGACCAACCGTAGATAGTAAATGTGAACCCTCCAGCCAGACCTGGAAATCCAAGCGCACTCCTATGAGGCAATATTCCCTCCGCAATCTGAAATTCAAGGAAATAGCAAAAGTTTTTTAAAATCTCCTTGAACTTTCCCCCCTTTCACGTCAAAAACATGAGAGAGAATTTTCTTTTTATACGTTTAGATTTTTTTACATCACGGCGGTACGTACGGAGGAGATCTTGAGGACACCTCCTCCATCACTGAGCTGCACAGAGGAGGAGTTAACTGTGCTCAGTCCAGCAGAGTCCAGATTCTCCCAAACCAGCGTCCCCTCAAAACCCTGAGGAGGAAAACACACAGACAGTTCTTTCTTTGCAGTATTTAAACTGAGTGACATTATACTGTCGTAGCAGCTGCTGAAGACACTGATGTCTGAAAAACTTTTTTTTTACATTTTACAGTTAAAAATGTACATTGAAGCTGATTCTAGTGTTTCTCCACCACAATTTTATTAAAGATTAACTCAACATCGACTGAAAATCTAATTTTTGCCGTGGTTTAACTTCTAACTTTGCAGCAGTGGCGTACAGGTGCACTCCAGGACCCTGTAACATCGCTGATGGGTGAGGAGTTATTATAGTTCTGCATTTTTTATTAGTTTTTTATTTTTATTTCAATTGAATTTTTGTTTTTAATTCAGTTTAGATTCAGTTAGTTTCCAGATTTGTCGGGGGCAAGAATTAAGAAGTTCAGAATATGTATTACAATACAAATACACTGACTTATAGTCATGTAGACAGGAGTTTACTATCGTTCTACCATTATTTCTAGTCAGAACCAGTATTTTTTATATGAACTAACAGGTTTTTTTGAGGAAATCAATTGTATACTGAGTTAAAAAGCTTCTGTAGGAGCAAAAATTAGTGAATCCTGAGCTTGACTGCTCAAAACGAGCAGGTAAATACAATCCGGTGGCTGATTTAACCGATGAAATGAGAGATCTTCAGGGAAGAAAGTGCGCAGCAGCACTGATTAATTGCACAATTAATCAAAATAACACTATTTGTGAATCGTATGAAAGTTACAATATATATCAAAATAATTGCAATATGATGTTTTTACCATATCGCGCAGCCCTAAACGAGGGGAGAATAAATCTCAGAGGATCTTAATAGCACATTTGTCTGGGGAAAGATATAAATTCATCAACTAACACGTTTCTAAAACAAGTCGGGATGTAACGATACACTTAACTCACAATTTGATACAAGTCATGACACTGGGTTCACAATATGTTTCTCTTATATCTTTCTCGATTTATAGAATCCTTTTTTATTTCTGAGGTAGGAAATAAACTGTGCAACTGTCACTTTCACGTTTTTCTTTGTAAAAGTGAAACTGGCATTGATAAAGCTACTCAAGTGTTTTAGGTAGGACGATGAACAAGGTCAACAGTAGACAGTGCGCTCTGCTGTTTAAAGAGTGTCACGATTCATTTTCGTTTCACTCATTTGAACCTTCACATATTTCAATTTAACTGTCTCGTGATATTATCGTTGGATTCTTAGAAACAAGCCTAAAACTTTTAACCTCATGTTAAGTTCCACTTTAATTGCCTTGTGGAGAAGAAATTACATGTATTATTTTATTTTCTGTTGGGAAATAATGAAGTGATTTCCAGGGAGGCTTTTTGGAAATAAATATGTACAGTAATCCGGTAATAATTATAGGAAATATTATAGATAAACTTATTTTAGTTACAGTTCACTTTATGTTTTTTTCCGACAGTATGATTCATAAATAATTAAAACATGTCAGAGACTTTCTTTACGTTTCTCTACCCTGAGTGGATGTGAAAGAACTGACCTTGGGCAAGATGAACTGCTCCACTGGTTTGTACCACACCCCGTTCACCAGGGTCCCGGTGCTGATGGCACTGAAGCGAGCAGTGACCACAGCTTCCTGTAAGAATCACAAGCTTTCATCCATCGAGAATGCACGTGCAAACGTAGCTCTAATCTTCACTATATACTATAGACTGTTATCTTAAAGACAAGTGACCTCCTGTTTGTGTCTGTAGAAGCAGTAAACAGCACCAGCAGAGTATCTACTGACCACACTACGCTCAGATGTTCGGTTACCTCCTGGTCCAACTGGAGAAGCTTCACCGTCACATTGCTCTGAAGCTCGGGCCGGGTCCCGCTGGGAAACACCCCCAGCCTGGTGATCACCACCGGGTGGAGGACCTTGAAATCCAGGGCGATGGCCGACACGTCGGAGGGGGCGAGCGCAGAGGGGTCAGACACCGTCACGATCTCTATCTCTGCATCCTGGCCTGCCGCTGGGACCAGAGGGACGGCAGAGATTACTGCGCAAGCACACATGAAATTTATTAGGATGCCAACGTGCTGACCGTCTGTTTTCAAGTGATGAAGACCGGGGTGGGTTTCGTGGGGGGGGGGAGAGAGGGGAGAGAGGGGAGAGAGCGCTCACAGAACTCTGGTAAAGTTCCACCATCAGCACTTTGAGGAGCTGGTTGTTAGCACTGCTGTCTTCAAAGCGAGCTTCTGCTCGTGAGTGTGGTTTCTTAATTACAAAAGAGCAGTTTATTACCCAGGAGATCAATGAAGAGATCAAGGCTGTTAAAGGGAAGCTGGCTTTTTACTTTATATACGTTCTACATAAGTTCTGCTGCTCACTCCAAAATAAAGACAATTAAGAGGCGGACAAAGAGAACACAGCAGTTTATCGAACCGAATGTTTCCCACACTGACCGAGAGGAGCCGAGCTGCAGGATTTCACCAGTGTGTGCGGATATATTTAATATTCTGATGCTCACTAAATATAAATGATTAGTTTGTGCTTACTTGTCAAAATTAATAACAGCAGTGTGTCTCTTGGCACTGACAGCGTGAGATTGCTACTTTTATTCTGGGGGAAAAAAATTAATACAACTTGGCAAAAACCATAAATAATTAACAGCAAATTCAGTGTTACTTGGTATCTGTTGGTGGGTTTTTTAAAATCAATATTGGGCAACAACTAAAGGTCTGTGTAACATTTTACAGTGCTAACAGTAAGTTGTGTAATGTGCAATGGCTGCATCTGATAATTATTTACATTATAGGCTCATCTGCAGATTGTTGTTTTGATCTTTGGACCATAAAATGTGAGACAATAGTAAAAATATTCCCCATCATATTTCCAAAAGTGCTTTGTTTTGTCCAACTGTAAGCCGGGGAAATGCAGCTAATATTCACATTAGAGGAGCTGGAAACAGGGTAATATTTGGGATTTTTTTGATGGATAAACAATTAATTGTTCATCAAAAGTTCGTGTGGATTGATCGTTTCAACTCTCGTTACAACATTTCAACAAACCGATCAATCAAAGACTCTTTATATCAGCCCCTGGAGTCTCAAAATTCTTTCATCATAATAATTTGGATTTCTCTCTCTCTCTCTCTCTTGGCAACAGAAATACTAAAAGAAGCCAATTAGCATTCATCTTATTGTAGTCCCTGTGACAAACACAGCACACACAAAACAAAATCTCAAACAACAATTAATTGTTCGCTTAACGTTCACCCGAATCCAGAGTCAGATCCCCCAACTGTGTTTTTAAAAAAGCAGCCACTGTCTTCTTTTCTCTTCCAAGCACACAGAGCATCTCGCACCATCTCGCCTGACGCGATTCTGAAGCAAATCACGTCAACACTTACAACCATTAACACGGCGGAGGAGAGCAGAGAGAAATAAAACATCACCGTGACCCTAAAGGCCGTCGTCTGTTAAATAAAGAAAAAATAAAAACCATATTCCGATGAGCGGTAATTATGTTTTCATGAAGGCAGCAAAACACCAAACAGAGCGAAAGAAGGGGGGGAAGTAGTGAAACTGCTGCTTTGGACTCGCCTCTGTGAAGGTGAGAGACATAACAATTACTGACAGTGAGCCCTGTTCAATTATTTCCCCATACAGTGCCAGCCAGTGGCTTCCTATAGCTTCACTTCTTCAAGTGTTGGTGCGCAGTTCTAGTTACGACTGCAGCAGCTGAGGTTGACTGCGAGAGATTTTGGCCTTGGGTGCAGAAAAGACAGGAAAAAAAAAAAAAAAGAGAGAGAGAGAAAGAGAGAGAGAGAGAGAGCAGTGTCCTTGAGGTGTGGGTGAACATGAATAAAAGGTGTTATACTTCTTTTATGAACATGCATTCTTCACATCTCCTGTTATTCTGCCTCATAGCTCCACTGCTGGCACACACGAGCCAATGCGAGGGACATCATTAGTGGTTGTTTGTTTGTTTGTTTGTTTGTTTGTTTTCTTTACCTGGCTCGGTGATGTTCAGGAGGGAGCAGGAGTACGGATCCTCTCTGTCCTCTTCTGGAACGGGACACCCATGTTCGCCCACGATGAACTTCACCCCCACTCTTTAAAAAAAAATAAAGCGCGTAAAAATAAAAAAACACTACAACATTTATCTTTCTCCTTTTTGTGTTGTGTGTGTGTTGTGTGTGTGTGTGTGTGTGTGTGTGTTGTGTGTGTGTGTGTTGTGTGCAATATTAGGGGGCTGCAAGATTTTTCTAAAGCTTGTCCATCTATCCACCCTGCGTTGCCATGGTTACCGAGGGTTGCTTAAAGGCCATCACACCTTATCTGTGCTCAGATCGCTGAATGAGAAGGAAATGGACAAAAAAAAAAAGAGAGAAAGAAAGAAAGAGAGAGAGAGAGAACAATATTGGCCGCCGGTCAGGTAAAAGATAAAGAAAAGAAAGAAAGAAAAGAGGGTTTGATGGGGTTAGTCAGTTATTTGCTGCCAGCTGGAGGCTTTATTTCCACAATATGAATCTGGCCTTGGAAACCCCCAAAGAAAAAGAAAAAGAAAAAAAAACCCAACAAAGAAAAGAAAGAGAAAAGAAGAGGTGAAGTTTGTCTGCGCTGACCTGTGCTGGAAGTGGGGGTGATCTCGGAGGTAGCCCAGCCAGGTCTCCCTTATCGCTTGTCGCAGTTCATAATGGTGTCTCGCTGACAGCACTCCCACCAAAACTTCATAGAAAGGTTCATCTGCATCGTCACACACACACACACACACACACACACACACACACACACAGAGAGAGAGAGAGAGAGGGAGAGAGAGAGAGAGAGAGAGAACAGGATGTCACTTGCTTTACACCCCTCAGTGATGATGAGCTGTTTGATGTGAGGAGGTGAAATATAACAATACAAGAAGGCTGATAAATAAAAATGCTTGACTGATGCATCCTGTAACTGACCTCGTCTTCATTCAATGCATCAAGGTGTTTGTTAGATTTAAAAAACAAAACCCTCCACTCTCTCTCTCTCTCTCTCTCGCTTTACACCCCTTTTCTTATAATCTAGTGATAAAGCATTTGAACGCAGCACAGAGCTCTAACAAGGCAGAGATGCTCAGCTCGCTTCAGTCTTTTTCCAGACATTAGACTATCCCAGCAACGCCCAACCACAACTGTGTTACAGTCACATTATTTCCCACTAAAACACACACACACACACACACACACATATAAATATATATACACACTCGAGTGAGCATAAACTACCTGTGCACACACAAACTCAACAACCACAGCAGAGACACGCCGGAGCAAAGTTAACCAGCAGCTCGGATATTAAAAGAAAGAAAAGTTGCTTTGGAGGAGGGTTGAGGCTAAAACACACACACACACACACACAAAAAAAAAAAAAAAAAAAGTACCCGAGTGTGTGTTGTTGTCCGGCGGGGTGGAGGAGGGTCGTTGTGCCAACCACAAGTGCACCAGGACGGCGACAGCACAGGGCAGCAGAATGAGCGCTAGCCTCCGCATGGACGGAGCCCTTCAGCCGGAGCAGCCTTCAGCTTTAGCGGCGCGGAGCCTCTTCCTGCACGGTGTGAGCGGCTCCGTGTGTGCGCTTCATTTCAGCTCCGCAGCTCTCCGCCGGGGCTCTCACCACTGCCTCATGTCTGCCTCCGCCGCTCAGGAAAAGAGACGGACCAATGGGGAGGCGAGGAGCCCTGCCGCGGTGCACTCTGGGAGATGTAGTCAGTCAGAGCAGAGACGCTACAGTGGAAAATGTAAATATATGTGTGAAAGTCATGATTTATTGATGCATACATGTTAATATTATACGTTATTGGAATGATTACTATCATTTTACTATATTATCATAACAGTTTTTTTTATGTTATATAATTATTATCACTATAATGTGTGTATATATATATTTCTTTATTTTTTATTTTCTCCTATTATTATTTTCTTGTCATCAGTTTTATGTTTTTTGTTTTATTCTTGTGTCTATTAACTTTGATGTCACAAAATGTATGTGTTTCACTATATTCATTAACTTTTATATTATTATTTAGTTATTTGTATAAGTTGTAGTTAGTTAGTTAGTTGTATTTTGTTGTTTGTTGAGTTCAATTTAATTTTCATTTTAATCGTAAACAATTACAACTGAAATACAACTTTTTGGGGGGGATCAGGGTATAAAAATAAAAAAAATACTATCAAGATATCAAAAACATCAAAGGTTCAATCTAAGTTTGACTTAAATAAAGAACATATTGCAGATTAAACCAAATATAAAGGGATTAATCAACTAATGTAATTATACATAACAATAAGGAGGCATTACACTTGTATAAACTGAGTTGATATGAATCATAATAATGTTCAATTAAGATTATTATCAGTAATTATATAAAATAAACTGTGCATAAACTATAATATCCAATTCACAGGGATTACACAAAACAACGAGAACCCCTTTAAATGTGTGCAGACTATTCCAGTTCACACTATTTTGCACAATTTCTGTTTATCTATTTATCTCTTCCTGCTATACTCTTGTATAACCTGTTAAAAGATAAATGCGTGCACCGCAGTGGGTTGTCGACTGTACATTTCAGCATTTTTCACACCACCATAAAAATGCATTGCACTATGCAGTCTCCACTCAAACCACCTTAAAAGTAAACATAATGTTAAAGTAAGCACAATAAATAGTTGATCACATGTCATTAGAAGTAAATTGACACTAAAACTGATTAGAGCTCCAATCAGTGCAGCTGATGTGGATCTTCCCATGTTTATCACCTAAAGAAGTGTCCATTTTTATATATATTTTGTTTTGCTTCAGTCTGCATTGTGAATTTCTAATGAAGTGAGAAAAAAAACCCTTCTAAGCGGAGAAGAAAATTAACATATGAATCATTTTATCCCTCTAAAACCCAGGTGACATGTTGTGGCTTTAAGATTAGAGCATAAGTATATTAAACCCGTTACTCCGTGCTGCACATAAATCATTTAAATGGAATCTATTGTGCATGGAGAGAGGGGTTGTTTGAGGAGGATTTCTTCTGACTCTGAGAGCACCAGTGTTGTCTCCTGGAGAGGAAGAGTGGCCCACATCATCAAGAGCGCCTGCTGCCATGCTTGTAAACATTTCATTTGTATTGATTTTAATGGAGTTCCAGTGTTGCATAAATGTTATTTTAAAGACTTTGCCGACCCTTCTAGGGGAAAATAATAATGTAATGGGAACCACCGACATGCTGCACACAATGTTGCCAATGTTATGAGTAGAAATGAAACCGCTGCGAAAACCACACGCTGTGACTGTAGATACATAATCTTATCAGAAATTATTACTATTCTCGTGTATTTTGAGCACACTTTGAGGGCTCAATGCTCAATTTGGAAAATTGCTCCAGCACAGATTCTCAGTATTAGATAACCTACTGCCCTAGGGATAATTACTTTCCTGTGCATTATATAATTCTTTTTGGAGTCATATTCATAAATATACTCATTACAATGATTTAGTTCTCTCTCTCTGCAACACATTATTCATTTGAAAGGGTAAAAAGGGGCTATTCATAGCATGTTCAGGGGTTTCTTGAAACACAACCCAACTTCCTGCTCATACTGCAGATATCCAACCTTTGTCTATCCTAGTTTGTTGTTTATATTCTCAACTCTGATTGCATTTTTATTTATATTTTAAGACTTTACTGTTCCAACCCATGCATTTTTTAAAAATTTTTTTTTTGGCTTTGCAGCCTTCGAAAGCACACACTGCGCTTTTCTCTTGATCTATATAGATTTCTTTTTATGTAGTCAGGTCCCAGCTGAGAACAGTGTGCACATAATATTTAGACATAATTCTTAAATTTCTAATTTTAGTGGTACATAAAAACTCTCTCTGTAGTAGCTAAATTCTTCTCCAATAAAAATTCTTATCCAGATTTAGAGAGAGACTGCAAAGCCCCTCGGAGATAGAGGCTTTTTTTCCCTGTAACCTCAATTAGTCATGACATCAATTTAATTCAAAGTTAAGAAAATAAACATTCTCAGGTATGTATTAAAGACTCAAAAACTTTGCTTAAGTATCACATTTCTCCAGCTGAGACCCGCCTACTTCAAACCAGTGAGAAAAATAAAGAAACCTCTCATGTAAACAAACCAAAAACTGCTCAAACTATAGGAGACAGTCCTGTATTCTGTAAGAATCTGATTGAGGAAATAGGTTTTCAGGACCTTTAACTTTAAATAATTGTAGATAATACTCCACACCACAGCTGTGCCAAGGCTTAAAGAAAAAATCCCCCTCTAGCTTCTCTTTAATTACATCCTGCTCCTTTGGGATTGGTTCAGAGAAATCAATAAGGCACGCCTGACTTCTCTTATCAATGTCATTCATCAAAAGTCTTCATACCATTTTGTACAATCTGTTCAGTTATATAACTCTAATGTGACCTGCGACAGAAAATCACCAGGTTGATTTGTGTGCATACCCGTGACTGATTAGGCCAAAACCAGCAATTGACCGACTGATATGATCACCAGACTTTTAAGTGCAGTGAAATAGTGTCAACCAAACTTGTAAGAAAAGCTGTAATTTCCCAGCTGGACACATGAAAAACAGAACTTCAACAGAAAATCTGGATGTTGATGTCTGATACCCTGAATTATTTTAAGGGACATTCTTCATGCGACCTGCAGCATCGGCTCGCTTCTTTCTTTTTCCCCAAGATCTACAGTTTCAAAAGCAAAACTGGCTGCGGCTAAATCAAATCATAATCCTTTAAAAAAAAAAAATTGCCACGACACATGAACAGTGCATCCAGATGGCCTGTGGTTCAGCTCAGCCACAGGAGGTCTCCACTAAACACCAGAATATCATGTTCCTCTGTGAGACCCAGAACCATTTGCAGTGGTCTTTTTTTTATGTTATCAGTGTGATCAGACAGCTCAAAAACATCAGAGAGAGAGAGAGAGAGAGAGAGAGAGAGACACGAGGCAAAAAATATTTAAGACACAGCACATTTGGGTTGCCGTTTTCCTTTAATTCATTTGATCCATCAAAGGATTTACAAAGCCTGCTATTTAAATGCTATTTTTCTTACCAAAAAAACGATAATACCATTCATGAATACAGCTGCACATTGTCGACACATCCGGACCCCAATTATGTGCAGAGTAGCACCCAGAAAGTCAATGAAGAGGCAATATTTCATATCATAATAGTTCTCTCTGTTATAGATAGAAATAAATCCATGCAATATTCATCTTTAGCCTGTTATATTTCTTATATTTCAGATTTGGCACCATCCTTAAGATGAGGTCAGTCTCAGCTTTTTCAGATAGGAAATAAAGACAAGAATTATCCTGCAAACAATTTGAGCCCAATAGTTTTGAGTTTGTGACAGTCCAGTGTCAGTTTGATTCCTAATGCGATAGGCTGTTCAAGTACCAAGAGGAAATTTATTTAAATTTTTACAGAAACGATGATGCAAAAAGCCTGAACCACCGAAGGGATCATATTATGTAAACCGACCCTTACCATTATATTTAAAAAATACTCAGATAGTATCAATAATTGCATGATTTATAAATGTTTTTTTTTTCTTTCTCCTAAATATCATACAAGCTTAGTAGCACTACACGTCATGTAGCTGTCAGTGCTGTGCAACAAATATTCAATAATACTACTGATAATAACAATATTAATAACGATCATAACAATTCATCGTAAAAATTAGCAAATGCTATTCAACTACCATGTAAAGGAAATGTTTCGACAGTGTGCTTTTTCTTCCAAAACAAACAAAAAACTCGAGAAAAAAAAAAAAAAAGGCCGTGGGACCACAGCGTGAGGATCACACTGCTCTCACAGAAATTGGCACTGTAACATACTGTACACTCTAAAAGACTGACAGTCCCTCGGAAACAGAGGAGGCTGTCAAAAAGGAGCAGAGAAAACATGCAGGCCTCTGGTTTTGGCATTAATGTCAAAGGCCTTGCCATTCACTCTAGGACAGGCAAAAAAGAATCAGGCTCAGGAAACATGCCCAGAAAACAAATGAGACCGTTAAGGAAATAAGAGGAAAATATCCTCCTGCAAGTTGTAAAAAGATTCCAGTCGGGGGGGGGATAAACTGATAGTGTCTCTGATTTGAAGTGGATGAAGTATATGAAGAGTAAATCAAACAGAGCAGCAAAGGTAGAAAACATTACAGCGGCTCTTGGAAGGAGGTGGCAGATTCATAAATAATTTTTTGACTTAAGGGTTGTTTGCACAGTGATAACCCTGAAGAACTCATTTCGCTGTTGAAACATTAGCTCTGCACCTTTCAATAAATAGAGAGTCTATTTATTTATTTGCAGCAGAACTGATGTGCAGCCACCTCCTTCTTATTACTCGTGCTGAAATAATTTACCGCGTGAGATAAGGTTTTCTGTTTTCCGCTCTCTAATGTGAATCCGACTTTACTGCAGCACTAAAACGAGCGGGTTAATTGTTGGTGACTGCGGAGGCAAATTGAAATAGAAACCACTAGTGAGGGAAGTGTCAAATTTCAGTGGTACTTTCAGTAAGTGTTGCTACAAATAGTCAAACCTGTTCACTGAAAGCAATACAAAAAAACTCAACTGAAATCATGTTCAAGATAATACAAATATTAATGCTGCTTTAGTCAGA